GTGTTTGTCCTAAACCTACGCTCAACCCAAACTGAAGCTTGAACTATAGGCCTATAAATCCAACACTAGCCACAGCCCTAACCCTACCTAATCCTAAACGTGACAGTGTGGCCTAACTCTAATCCTAGATCCATCCTTAACCCTAAGCAGACCCTAGCCCTATCTCCAACTCTGACTATCCCGTTTCAAATGTTCCCCAAACACTAATCCTAGACCAGTAAATAAACCAAACTATTTTTGTTACCTACAGGTGGCAAATTGTAACCTGTTGGTTTTTTTTATGCGTCAAGTTGTAGATCATATCCATCAGTATTTGTCTGCCAGTGTAGCGAATACAACTAATTTTCCAATGCAGAATTTAAGCAGTCATTGTCAGCTATTCATTATTTAAAAAAAATGCTTTGGTATTGCACTTCGACAGGTTTTCAATTTGGGCTGGCACTAAGTTTAGCTCTGTGAAGAGCATAAACGCTTATAAAAGTTGGAAACCCACTACAGAAGGGTGGTACATTCTGTACATTGCAGAATGACACATGGTGGTGCAATGGCTCTTCCAGTTTGTAACATGAGGGATCCCTTTCCATTCTGCAATAAAAACAGCTTTTCCCATGGCGTCTCCCGACTCCGGGCTACAGCTGGAGATTCCTGCCACATCCGTCATCTGTTACCTTGAAATCTGCGACATTTCAGGAGCTGAAAACAGTCATTTAGCAATTCTCAAAACAGTTGTAATTGCTTAAGGAGCTTAAAGTCATCAGGTAGTAATTACGCAAATTACAAGGGCTCAATTAAGCAAATGAACACTTGTATGGAATTGAAAGCAGAGGACAGGGTGCTTCTGAGAAACAGGTAGAATGTAATGTTTTCATTTACCTTTTTTGTAAGCATTCAATAAGGGAGCAAAAAAAATTAAATGTTTGAATTTGAATGTTGAATACGTTTACACAGTGTTTTAATGTTACATTAAAATGTTCGGCACTTATAGCTCCATTTTAAGCATTTCATTGTGTGATCTACAGTGACCTACAGTATCGCAAAGCAAAATGTGTTCAAAATTTGAGGGTCCTGCACCTCAAATGTACTGCTTAAAAGCAAAAGCAATGCAAGTTTGTGTCAAAGCAGCTTTGTGGCGCTTTTCATATTTCACGTTTAGTAGTCCATCTTATAATTCATGTTAGATCAGAGCTTTCTTCTGATGGCATTTGTCATGATCAGATTACATCTTACAGCTCAATTACCGAGACCAGAATTCCATGTACATTGGAGTCTGAAAGCATGATGTTCCCAAAATGACACATTGCCTCAGCATAATTCACAATTCTACTTTATATAAAGACCAGGATGGATATTCCCAGGTGTACCTAGGGTTATCTGTTGTCAATGTCACTGAGCCTGCTCCTCCTATCCTGTTAAACCCAAAATCAAAGTAAAAAAAAAACAAATATAAGAAGGTGTAATATTAATTCAATTACCAATAGTGTTGTTTTGGTTCTGCTAATAACTTTATTTAAATAAGACACAAGAGCTCTATATTGAAAAATACAAAACAAAAGCCACACACTGCATAAATTAAAGTGTGGTGTGGCAGCTCATAAATACTGTTTAGCACAGTGGCTTGATATTACAGTGGAACTATATACAAACTTCAAACAAGCTTTTAAACAATTTTAAATTCCTATACCGTGGGTGTAGGAGACACTGGAAAATAGCTATTAACAGGACATACTAGTAGGGACTGGGAAACCTTAACCTGGATTTTTTTACAATAGTAATATACTGATTTTGCAATAGTGATTTTAATCACCATAAACACACTGGTTTGGAGGACGGGAACATTTCTCACCCTGACTGGCAGAAGATACGGGAACTGTGTTGTATTCTACAAGGCTTCTACCACATTCATTAAGGAATTGCGTTTTGAAATATTTTTACTTTGAACTCTGCCGAATATTTTGTTAGCACAACCCTCGCAAACAGAGATTCATCTGTTTTATTTCACCCTTTTTTTGTGCAAGTGGGGAAAGTGCATATCCCCTTTGTGTCTGGGGGAAAACGTGGGGATTGTTATTGCCATTGTGCGCAGAATTGCGGGACAGCAAGAGGACTTTAAAGAGCACTGTAAGCATTGAAGGAATGTGTCCAGACCATATTGCAGCTTTATGTTTACATGTTCCTATTATCTGAACATAATTTGATTTGGTATCAAACAACTGAAAAAAGGCATTTACAGTACATGGGTATTTACTGGGCCTGCAGGTCACTCTGACCTTGGTCCTTGAGTGGCTGTTCTTGACCCTAGCTGGCAGGTTTTATAGGTAACCAATCAGTAGTCTCAAACTCAGATCCTTGAGGATCTTGGCTCTTCTGTTTTTTTTTTTGTTTCAACCCAAGTTATCAATTAAACAATTAACCCAAATATTTTCTTAATTAGACTTTTAGGTGTGCTCTTAAGGCCCTTTAACGTTGATTGCACGAAGACATTAACTTCTTTAAAGGTACTGTTACCCCACAACACCTCAGAGCCAGGTAAGAAGTTACATTCCTACAGCCAATTAATAATTAGCCCACTTCTGTAACTGAGAATGTGATTTGACCAAAAACGAGAAGACAATTCCAGGAACTGAACTTGAGACCCCTGTTTTAATCATCAATTTCTAAAGGCTTGGAGCACTTAAGCCTTTTAATGAAAAATTACTTTTTTGGTACGTTAATTAAATTCGAGATCATTTGGAACCAAAATCAGAATATCATCAAAGTCCTTAGTTCCCTTAGCTGAACATTGAACTTCCATTATTGGTAAATAGGTGACCTGCAAGACTGAACAGGGACCAGGGTTGGAGATCCCTGTATTAGGAACATATCACTGTGAATAAAATTGTTCATTGTGTACTAGCAGTCGGTCCTGTTAAGCAGTCTCTCCTGTTTTACTGAATCTAAGAGGCCTAGGAATATACTATACTATATACCAAGCGAAAATGTTTCTATAGCTAATATATAGTACAGTTACAGAGGTATGATATGTATCAGTCCCCCAGTGTTAGGAAAATGAATAGCTTACTATGTATAATTAAAAGGGTATGACCACAGATGTGAGGAAAAAGTGATGGTAGACTTGAAAAAGCATGAAAGGGTGTAATAAAACCAATAATTAGGTCGCTCAGGTTTCGTCAATCCAGTAGACTGTAATCTTCTCTCAATTTAGAGTAACATTTAAAGTTACTTTCAAAATGTAGATGAACATAACCTTTATTGCACACTTATCTAGCTCATCAAAAAAATAACGTGAATGTTTGCTACCGGAACACCACACTAAATCACAAACAGAAAGGTGCTTGATAAATTGACATCAGCTTGAGCCATTTTAAAGCCATGTCTAACCTGGCAAAGGGAGGAGAAGAGCTTGGAAACAACAGTAAAACCACATACAAATAAAAATGAACGACTGTCAGTTTGTTCAGCTTTACTGTGCCTGGGAAGAATTTAAGGTAATAAAGTGTGTTAAACATCATATAATTGTGCAAGAGTTCTGGTGCCATCTCATTAGCTGAAAATCAATTATTAAAAAGTATGGCCGAAAAAGAACGACTAAATTTTCTAGTTAATGAAATATAGGACCTCCTCCTATCTCCTCTCCCTCACAGACTGAGAAGCGAGTTGGGTTAAAGGCCAAGGAATAAACTAAGTGATAATCCTGTTCAAGAAAAATATAATTTTAACATCTTAAGCTGTCAAGGAAGCAGACTGAGCCTCTCCTGTCCCCCAGATTTTTTGATGTCCTTCTCTCTTCAGTTTCACTGATTTGATGAACACACATGGAATGTTTACTATGTACATCCTGGAGCACTGAACACTCACTTGCAACATCTTAACAGTCATAGAATGAGAAACACCTGAATATTCCGAAATGCCACATTTTTGTTTTTCAAAAAACGTTCAACGTGTAATTTGTGATGTCAGACATCACAGTTTCTGCTGGTTATGGTAACGTTGCCCAATCCAAGAATTGGCCCTTAGATCAGAAAGCACTTATTCCAAGAACATGGAATGTCATGAGAAAAGACCGATGTACAAAAAGGAAAGGCAAGAGAGTGATGCTTATTGTTAACTCCTTAAGCTTTGAAAGCCACAGATTCAATACATCTCTACACAGATACATTCCAAATTACCTGAGTTAAGACTTCGAAAGAAATACCTGAAGCTAAGCCTGAAGAGGGCACTGTGCAATGGTTGTGGCCATTTTTTTTCTTTTTTCGTTTTCTTTTTTTGCATTGTATGTCTAGAGAAGTTTAGAAACATAACCTGGATTGAGTGTAAACATAATCCTGAAAAGTACAGCATTTTTTTTCCCCCATTACATAACTGACACAGCAATACACAGTTTCAATTTAGACAGGCATTTTTTTTGTTGTTTTGATATAGAGCTTATTCAGACTGTGGATGTGGAAACAGAACACAGGACACAGAACTTATATATTTAAACGTACTACTGATATGAGATGCATTACTCACCCCCAACAACCCTCCCCCCTCCCTCCAATTCCAATTAAAACATTTAATGAAGCATGTAGCATGTCTTTGTTTCTTGTTTTATGCAAGCGTTACTGCTTATTACAGAGTTAAAGGAGATGAATTCTATCCCTGCCAAGAACAGTGTTTACCGATATGCTAAGAACACTAAAAGGTTTTGTTCTGGACATTGTCGCTACTCCATGCAGATGTTAAATTTAGCAAGACGGCCTCAGGAGGAGGCAGAGGCCCCGCTCTGCCGGGGACTAAAGGGCCGCGTAGCTCTGAGAGGCCGAGAGCTCGTCTGGCGTCGACTCCTGAAGTGCCGGGGAGAGCCGTCGCGCCGGAGGCTGGGCGAGGCCTTCGGGGGAGTCCGCCGTGCTGGTGTGGACCGAGACCTGAGAGGAGACCTGCCCGACAGTCACAGTGGTCGGGGCTGCGCTATGGCCGGCGCTGGGCGTGGGGGCCGGGCCGGGGGGCCCCGTGAACGCGGGGCCAGGAGGGGTCACGAGGAGCGAGGAGCCGGGCAGTCTCACGGGACAGAACGCCGAGCCCGTGGGGATGAAGTTTACCTTGTTTTTGTCGGGACATGAAAACAGTGGGACTGAGCTCGATGGACGAGACCTGTGGGGGGGGAACAGAACAAAAAAATAAATTCAGCTGTTTTGACTGAAGAAACTCTGCATGGGGTTATTCTCTACTTCAGCTACTCCCATACACAAAATAATGTGTTCTCATGCTAAATGCTGATTTACTGCCTAGCTAATCTAAAAGGAACGATTTCCAAGAAGGAAAAACACAAAAGACCAGCTATTTAAAATAAACCGGCTGAAACATTCTTGTTAAATCAAAGAATGCAAGGTTTCCAAGACTCAGAATAAGTTAAGACCTTATTTATGGCTTGATATGTGGAAAACTGGCAATTAAAAGCTACAAAAACAAAAATGGAGAATTAACATTATAATTGTAGCCGACAATATCTGTAAATTAGGAGAAGTAGATTTAGCAGGCTTGGCTTTTTTTACCAACAGATGAATAGTCTACTTGTCAGATCTGCTATAGTAATTCCATATGGTTCATAAATTACCCTGTTTCGTAGTTTTTCAGTACTTTTTTTTAGGGAAACATCAACTTTAAAGCAGATATAACTGTTGTATTAACAGCTTTTTGTGTGCTAGTAAATGATTAATGCATTCCTATTTAAGTGCTAGCATGCTATTTACACAGCAAACACATGGCTTTCTAAAATAGTGTTACCCACTTTAGTTCAGAGGTTGCAAATCACACTTGCACACTAAACTGCCAATTAATAAAACATTCATATACAGTATGAGAACAATCTGACTTTTGTTAGTAATCATTAGCTACTACTATTAACCATCGATTCATGTTAATCTATTACAGGTTAGAATGAATCTATAAAAGTATTCGGCAACCCCAAATGTCAATATTTTCTTTTCTATACGTTCTGCTACGGATACTCTCCTACTATGTATATATCTACTGGATCTCTTCGTAACAAAACCACTACACCCATTTTCATGCTTAATGTAAGATTTTTTACAGTGACCAGTGCCCATTTGTGAAGTGTTTATAATAGAGAATGACATGGAAGCACTTCACCTAAACTACCCAAATCTAATACGTAAAAAAGCTGTAATTGATTGTTTCCTTGAAGATGTTTCTTCACTTCAGATTTGGACTGTATAAACAGTGTTGTGCTTCTAATTATTAGTAAGCAGTAAAAACAGATTTCCAACACGTTTTTTCATACTCTGATTGGCATCTCAATCGATGGAATGGTCTTTCATTCATTATGAAAATGAATTTCGGCATTTGCAATTGCACCAAATACAGTATATATATATACCCTATGTATAAAAGATTTAAAAATGGTGTTATTTGCTAATATATACAACTCTTAAACATTTTAAACAACAATGAATCCTTCACAAAGCCAACTTGAGAAATTAAACAAATTTCTGACCTACAGTAAGATAATGTAATTTTGGCGGTTAGTTTTAAATGCCACTGGTTTACACCTGACTTGCATATATTAATGTGTTGCTTGTATATTATATACCCATACCTACAAACTCTGTGCAAGCTAAAGTTTCAAAGCATTACATTGCAAACACAGGACTGTTGTTTTCTAAATAACACAGCTGATTAAAACTAATTGGTGCAGAAAAAATGTGCAGTCACACAAACTCCAGAGAACCGTGCCCAGAAATGTCCTGTGGAAAACAAGGAAGTACGAGTGTATTGAGAGTATTGCCAAGTCACCATAAACATCATGCCAGGACCTTAACAGTACTAAGCTTCCTGAACACCTGCAGGTTAAAACACATGTAAGAGATAAACACGCTGGTCATGAACAGTGTTCATATCATGGAGGACAGAAGCATAACTATCTTCCAGCTTAATCTTGTCAGATCTCAGAAGCTAAATTAACATTCAGCCTACTTGCGTGTATCGATGTGTTGGGATCCCTCCAATATGTAAATGAAGTCAGGATTCTTTGGGATGAAAAGTGCTATTTGTATGCAATTAATTTTCGTATATACTGCACTTTTTACAATATATAAATATATCAATATTTCAATGAAAAGGATGGCAAACATTCTTATTTAATTGTTTAATACAATGATCAGTTCCAAAAGGACATGTAATTGAGAATGGCTTTAACAAGAACATTGATGCATTTCTCGCATACATCATGTCTCATGAGAGGGGAGCAGCTTTGCAGTTATTGAATGCAAAACCCATGAAAAACTAAATACATTAAGTCTCTTAAAAAATAAAAAATAATTAAAAAGAGGCCATAACCATATAATAAATTTAAAGGAAGACAAATTTGTATGTTTTGGGGTTCAAAATCATGACCTTCTCAGGTAGCAGTCTGAAAACACTTGACATCAAGCAAACGCTTTTTTTGTCAGAAACGATTCTGACAACGACGAGTGTAATTTGACCTTCTTTCAAGGAACATAATTATGAACTACATCACAATGTGTAGTACGAGGTTAGTTACAAAGAGAACTATATTTAAAAATTATAATTAAAGTAATTACATTTATAATTATAAATTGATTTCAAAATCCATAATTTGTCAACCATTTAGCCAAAGCAAATAATGAATTTAAAACTAACTCAGTGACAATTTAAGAATTTGCTGATTGTGACTTGATAATGAATACTTGAATTTGGGCCTCAGATTTGATGCACAATTAACAAAGACAGTCTGCTCTCTCTTACCTGTGCACTGCCAATCACTAGTCTTTTCCAAATTTGAAACAAATGGGGTCAAAATCATTTTAAGTCAGACCAGGTGATCACTAATGAACCTCTTGAATCCCCAAACCCTGGTCAAAACTTTTTTAAAAGTCACATTTTCAAAGGGTGAAAACAAATCATCTTGCTTCATATCCTGAGATAGTAGCTCCTCGAATCTCTATTAAATCTGTGTTTTTTTTTATCAGTTGCTCAAACTAACATTATTTCTGGCTGCAGAAGATGGCTTCTTATACAATATGATTACTATGCTTCGCTGAGTTCAATAAATTAATAATACTGCACTAATGTCTTTGTTTTGCACAACATACAGTATTGTTTGGGTCCTAATGCCCCAGTACAGTGACAGGGACACTATACTGTAAAAATGCGCCTTCCTTCAGATGAGATGTAAAACCAAGGTCCTGACTCTCTGTGGTCATTAAAAATCCCAGTGTGTGTCTCAAAAAGAGCAGGGGTATCAGCCCCAGCGTCCTGGCCAAATTTCCCATTGGCCCTCCTAATGGCCTCCAATCATGGCCTCCTAATAATCATAATACCAATCACGGCCTCCTAATAATCCCTATCAGTGAATTGGCTTTATCACTGCTTATCTGTTCTCTACTTATCACTCTGTTCTCCTCCTCACTGAGAGCTGGTGTGTGGTGAGCGTAATGGTGCACAATGTCTGTTGTCACATCATTGGTGGTGGTGGAGGGGATCCCCATTACCTGTAAAGTGCTTTGAGTGGAGTGTCCAGATAAGCGCTTTGTACGGTAAGTGTAAGGAATTATTTTTTTGTACTGTATATAGTTTGTGCATGCTGATAACACCTTTATCTTTGCATTTCCTATAAGATAAGATATAGGATAAGAGGAAAAGCTACAATAACCAGGCAAAAGTGTTTTGATTGTTACAGAAAAGACCAATATCTATGTCTGTTATTAGCCACAGTGGGCATCTAGTCAGTGCAAAAAACAAAAACAAAATAAAACTAAACTCCCTGGAGACTACAAGCAACAAGTGAACTGCTGCAAGCAATATAAATCAGTCCAACAAAAACAGCTTTAGGTTCTTCACCATTTAAAATTAATATTAAATCCTTACCATTTAAAATTTAAACTACTTTGCCGCTAACAGTACTGTAAACAAAAGCATGATTTATCAGTCAGCTCCTGAAAGGATCAAACGAATACACTTTGTACTGTACATCAAACACCATGTCTGTGTTTTGGTAATGGTAGTTCTAAAAGAACCCTTCAAGACCCCCCTGTATATCATTAAGCATTCTGCTTAGATGGAAAAGAATCACAAGTATTTAAGGGAAAATTTGTGCCAGCAACAAAATAAGCATGATTTTTACTTTTTCTTTTTCTCTCTCTTCAGAGCAAATGTACTTGCCAACAGAAGAGAGGCATTTCAAAATAGCTACTTCCTGCCCTTGATAAAAGACGTTAGCATTTATCGTTTGCACAAATCAGCTGACATAAAAAGTATTACTTACGCCATTTCCTCAAAGACCTTGACTCTCTCACATCCCTCTGGGGGTTCTCGTTTGAACATGTAGCTGTTGTTTGGTTTAGGAGAGGAGGCAAACTTAGGCAGGGGTGAAATACTCCCACTGTCTGAAAATGGAAAGGAGCACATTTCAGTGGGAGAGCCATTATGCTTTGCAGCTCTGCAAAATACAGGACAGTCTTATGACCATCAACTGCTCTGCAGATTCAAACCCCAGACTGAACTTTCCAATACACATTTTCAATACGTCCAATATAATATATACATGAACCAGGGGGCACAAGTGGAAACTACATGGAAGTGCATTTAAAACTGAAAATAGGAGGCACTTCTCTATCCAGAGGGTCTTGGGAGTGTGGAACAAGCTGCTGAAGCCGATACCCTGGCTTCTTTCAAGAAACATCTGGATGAGATCCTCACATTAACTAACTACGAACTACCAAATAGGCCAAATGACCTCCTCTCGTTTCTAACCTTTTCTCTGCATTTTTAAACTTTGTTTACTTCTCAGTATTTTGTCATGTTTTAGTAGTGCTCCTTCAGATACAGAGGTTTTCATATACAGTACATACTGTATTATTAGAATAGATTTCCAAGTATTGCATTGCTTTATGTGAAAAGCTTAAGATGAACAGACCTTTCTAAACGTTATATTCCAGCTGCCTTTCCAAAATCAACAATTTGTAAATCACCAATGAAATTATGAAAACATCATTATACATATACTCTCTCTATATATACCTGTATATATATTACATAAAATAAGGCCTCAGGAATACGTAATGAAGTATAACTACAGCAAACGTTTACAGATGACTATCTTATACATATACAACTTTAATGAGACTGAAAGAGGATGTCATTAAAATACACTTGTCTGATAATAATTCACTGTGAACATAACCCTTCTTAAAAATCAAATAGTGACAAGCTGTACAAGGATAGAAACACACAGCAAATGTTTCTAACCAAAACATGGAGTTCATTAAGAAAAAGAACAAATCTAGTACACATGAATCTTATATAAATGCTTGGGTTGTTTCTTGGGATTAAATGGTTGATCTGTAAAAGGAAATCATATAAATTGGAAAGCAAAAAAAAACAATCAGACAAAACCAAGCAATCGGTAATCTCCCCAGGTATTTTTCACATAAACCACTAAAACCAGTATGCCTTAACATGATCCCCCAAAAGCTGTCCATAATTATATCTTCAGAGTTGGATTATTTGCGGAACAGAGTACAATCTTTCTAACTTAACCATGTCTGCTTGTACAATCCAAACATAAGCTATATGCTGTAAACCATGTACGTTACTGTTGGAAAACAGCCATTTATATACAGTATTCTTTATAAACTTTTTGAAAGGGATGAACAAATGTCACGTTTTTAACTATAATTGTGTTTTACACATGGGATTGTAGCATATCAACAACCTACTGTAGGTTAAAATGAAATTAACTTAAAAAGCAATATAAAGCCCTCAAGTGTTAAAAAAATGCAATAACTTAATGTGACACCTTTTACAATTAACACAAAATTAATGCTTCCTGGTGTTTTCCAGGAAGTATCAGATTTATCATATTAACTGGTAAGACCTGGATGTCAATAACTATGTTATCATGCTAATACACAATCAGCAGTTTGTTAGAATACACATTTCTGATTGTTACATTAAGATATCTGATCACACAGTACATTCAGTTAAGAAGAGATACACTGCTGAATCTTTTCTACCTAAGTACTTGGAATCGTTTCAAAGCTGCTGAAAAGCCAGCATCTTTATTAAGGAAACAACAAAATGGACACAAATGAGACAATGATTTCAAAGATCAATAAGGATCACGCAAAAAAGAGACAGATAAAAATGACACCGGAATTTGACAGTCTGTTATGTTGTTTAAGACTAGTCTATTAAAACAAACCCCTGACTGACCTGAAAATGAATGTTTATCTAAGGGATATTACATCTGGAAGCACTTGACTTAATTTCAGCTTTTTGTTATGTAAGAGTTTAGATCTGTTGGAAATTTAGACCTATTGAGCTCTATTGAAAGAAAAAGTTGACATGCTTTTGCTTGTTGCTTTTATTTCCTATCATCTATAAAAAAGAAATCAATTTACAATTTTATTCGGACACAAACCTACCTCAAGGCACATTTATACTCAAAAACTGTGGAAGATTATGCTTTCAGTGTCTTCCATTTGCACTAAATAAAGAGCAAAAATGGGAATAACAGCTGTCCAAAAGCTTAAAGGTTTTCCAATTCTTCTCAACTGGCAAAAGAACGTGCTTTTGTCTCACTGCATCCCTGATAAAGTCCAGCTCTTTTAGTTGGCATGTTTAAGTCTAGAGTATTATTTGCTTGCACACAGTTCCTCTCAGCACAGATGTTTGATTTAAAGGAATACTTTCATTCAAAATTAACCTAAGATGCTTATTTCATGACAAAGAAAACAGAACTGAAATACTTATTTGCAAAGAATCATAAATTCTTTTTAAAAAAATCCACAACTTTGATCAGTGCAGTAACACGACTGGCGCAAGTGAGGTGAGGTGGCTAGCGCTTCTACCTCACAATCCTAGGGTGCCGGGTTCGATCACAGGCTGGAATGCCAGTGTGTGATGTCTGAATGTGTTTGGCAGGTTGGGCTTGTTCATGATCACACATTAGGGGGGTTTGTCCTTAGTATTTGTCATATGATTTTAATAAAAATCTACCAGATGAACTTGATGGGCCAAACATCTGATGACAGAAAAGCAAAAAACATAATTACAACCCACTCGATGTTCACTTATTCTCTACTGTGGTTAGAAAATGCTAGATATTGATTTTCAAGTGTAAACTGTCATTTACAGAACAAAATGGCCACAGAGAGGGGTCTTGAAGACCATGTCAGAAAAGGTAAAAGCCCCTTTTCCACTGTGGTGAAACACCCAGCGCAGGTGAGCAAGGATTCCAGTTCAGCTAAATTCTTTTCTTTGCGTTATCAATTTGCCAGCAGTGCACCTCTTACAGAGAGCAAACTGGCTTTGGTGGGAATGATCCCTGAAGCAAAGCACTGAGTACTGCCACATAACTGCGAAAAAAATATTTTAATCACCGTGATCACAGCCTCTTGAACCCTGTTGCAGGACAAGCAGTAAAACATCAATCATTTTATTTGCTCCAGGAAATTGGACTCTTTCCAGCCAAAAGTCATTGTTCAGGACACATTCCTCTTCATATCTTTGTATCTGCATATCTAATGTAAAGCAGTTTTAATGAATGCCTTAAATTGAACAGATAAATGTAAGGATGTAGTTTTTTCTAATTTACTTCAGAATAATTTTAAGTACTACTGTACTTTAAATTATTTTGTAGGTGGTGACGGTAAACAATGCTATTGTCAAATTTTCTAAAAATAGGATTTTTAAGCTCCTATGGATCCAACTATTTTAATTGCAGAGGCACTGATTTGTATAATCTATAAAAAGATTACACATCAAATTTGCTTTAATTGCTTTTATCTGAGAGGATAACAACCTCATACACAGTAAGTACTATAAAAGGAACAGATCAGAATATTTCTTTTGTAAGTAAATCAAGTATGACACTTGTCAAAGTGGTTTTTCTTTTCAGCACTTATTTACTGCACTGAGGCACTTGAAGATGCAGTTCTTGAATGAAAATGCACCATCTACACATCCATTTTGTAATCCCTGATTACAGTAATTTAAAGACTCGTACACACTTAATGAAGAAGGATGTGGCGTTTCTTCTACATATAACACACAGAATATATAAGGACATGCTTCAGACCTCAACTTCTGCTAAGTAAATACAATTGACCTTTATTTAGCTAAATAAAGGGGAATAGAAATACCAGCTGGTGCATTTAAAAATTAAATGTAAATATAACTACAGTTTTTTTTTGTCTATCTGCCTCATATTAAAAACACCATTCCCATTGAACAGAATAATCCACAACACTTTTACAGTGCAAAGGAGCATACATTTCTAGAAGTGCTGAAGACTGTCTTAAATTTGGATATCTTGTCTTCAGTGCTTCATAAAACAGAGAGACACAAACAGAGGAGGAGGAGTGAAATAATTTTTGTCTTGTTAAATCAGGTTTTATGCGATAAGGTTAAAGAACACACTTCAGGACTACATTAAGAAAATGTGTAGGGTCTCAAAAAAGTCCACACCAACAACCTTAAGGCTACTAAAAATGTACTCACATTTACAGATGTGAAATAGTACAATTCTTCATTAAAGTCATATTTAGGGAAAAAAGTTAGTAGAATATATAAAAAACATTCCTAATCCTGCTAGGAGGTTAAAAGATTTTTATGGTATGAAAAAAATTACTTTCTGTATTAAGTTTAAACTCACAATTAATTTGACTGGGATAGTGGCCATGTTGATACATCAGGAATGCCTAAATAAATTCTGTTCATATCACTGATGCAATACAATGCAAAATAAACTTTTCTGTAAAAGAAAAAGACGTTCGCTAAGTAGCCTATCTAGTTTAACTAAAATATTTTAAATACCAAAAAGCAAAACAATAATACACCTACTTACTGTATAACACCTTACTTAATGTATTACAAGACATTACATTATTTATATATATGGTTCAATTTAGAGCTGAACAAATTCAGGCTAGCTTTACTCCTCAGATATTCTCCAGACCTACACTTTGCTTCTCTTCTTTGCCAGTCTGGATGTGTTCTTTTCTCGAGTCTGAAAACACAGCAACACCCAACCTCTAAAAGCTCTTTAGTCTGTGACACCACCACAATGACCTGCTTTCTGAGCACAGTTATACAAGAGCTGGAAAACAGCACAGATGCGGCAGTGTTCCTTCTCCCTTTCCTCTCCCTAGTCCTGTATAGAACAAGGAAGAGGTTTTCATTTGCTGGTTTGGCTTACCCTCAAATTTCCCCCTGGTCTTTACTAAAATAATGGCCTCCTAATAATCCCCATCTGTGAACTGGCTTCATCCCTCTGCTCTGCTCTCCTCTGAGAGCTGGTGTGTGGGGAGTGTTCTGGTGCACTATGGCTGCTGTTGCAGCCCCACCTGGATGATGCACACTGGTGGTGGAGGGGATCCCCATGACTTGCAAGGCGCTTTGAGTGAAGGGTCCAGAAAAGCGCTACAGTATAATAAGTGTAACGAATTATGATTCTTCTTCTTCTCACAATACTCCACCCCAAACTACAGGAAATGCATCCGGCATCCGGCAAGGTTTTACTTCGGCGACACCTTGGACTCGCCCAGCAAGGTTCGAGACACAAGCTAAAATGTCTACACCCAGCTGCACAAGTCGATTCTGTGCAAAAAGATCAGGTATAACGGCTTAGGCTTCTTCTGTGAGCCACGTGTACGCGGAGAGGGCCCCGACAGGGCCTCGTCTGCAGGGGGCTGCGAGCAGGGCCGCAAGGGCCGCCCCTCCGCAGTGTCGCGCGAAGCCGCGCCGCCGGGCCTCACCTTTGTCCCGGTCGTACAGGAGGTCCTCCGCCGAGCACGGGCTTCCGTCCTGGGACCCCGGCGGGCAGCAGGGCGAGTGGCTGCTGCTGCGGCTGCTGCTGCTGCGCTCCTGCACGGAGGGCGTCTGCGTGTCCACGCTGCGGGTGCTGCTGCTGCTGCTGCGGCACTGGGGCGGGAATGGCGCGCGCCGGCCGTCGGGCACGTCCAGGGGCTGCGGCGGGAGGGGCGAGAGGGGACACTCCAGTCACTCCCGTCCTCGGGGGACGCTCGCCGCTTTGCAATGTGCGCGACTACCCCTCCCCACGGCCAGGGCCCGCGGCTTCGGACAGCGCCCGCGAGCTGGAAAACGGTACCGAAGCATGCGGGCCCGGACTACCAGACGCAGAGACAGTTTGTACCCCCACACTATCAAACTATTAAACTCCCAGCCTCCCTCGCCTACGATCTGAACCTCACTTACCAAAACTGAAATCGACCTCCACCTCACATGTCAAGAAGCTCACTCCCCATCATTTTCCATCCTTTAATTTCATTCTGTTGATGTATGATTTTGCACATTACCTGTTACGTGTTGTTGTTTTGCACATTGCCTGTTGTCTCCGTCTTTCTTTTCTTATACAATTGTATCGTTGTTGTTTTTCTTGTACTTCTTACCGTCTGAGAGCTAGCTAAATAGCATTTCATTCTACCATATACCTGTATACGAGTTAATTGACAATAAACTTGAAGCTTCAGTACCGCCGGAGCACCAGGTTGCCAACCAGAAATAACAGCATAAATACCAAGAATCGGACCTGAAAAAACAAACTCCTCTGGAGACATTTAGCTACCGATAGAAGGAAGATCTTGATGCATCTGACAAAACCATCATCTCTTCCAGGGCTGGAAAATCTTATACTTGATTGCAAATCCACTGAAATAAAATCTCGGTTCTGACATCACAGCTTTGTGGTGGACAAAGAGTGCATAGTACTCACGATGAGCAGACTTTTTAAGCCGGTTAATGACTCGAGCAATATTGAAAAACCACTCTTTGGCCATCTACCGTATGTAATACCACTTGAAGCTAAAACAGTGCTCTTATCTGTTTATTTCATAAGATTACATGTTCTCAAGTCTGTAATGAAGGTCGTAATCAGTTACGCATTTGGTATTTTCTGGCAGAGAGGCTGTGGTTTTGAATCCCTTTCATAATTAGTTTTAATGTTTTCAAAAGGAAAAAAACAGACTGCAGTTTGATAGGAGTCCAATAAAGTCCCCAGCCACGCAACATAATGCTTGAGGTAAAATCCAATCTAGATGGTGATAGAGCTTGTGGGACCAGTTTGTGTTATGGGACATATTTTGCCAGTTGGGTGATACACTTGAGCACAAGTATTGCTGCAACACATAAGGAACAAATCTGAAGCAGGCTCCCATGTTTTAACTCAAGTGGTACAGCCATACCCAAGACAGTTTGAGTTTCCAGAAAGAAAAAAATGGCGGTGAAACTGCAGTCTTGATGAGTAGAGAAACCCCGCATCGCAATACCTTTCTTCTTTGGCACATGACGAAAAATACAACAAGATTTATATTGAGAGATCTGTGAGAGTGAATGCATCTATGTGTTGTTTTTGTGGGATACAGAAATGATTTTGCATTGGGAGTCAGCTGTCGGACGGTTCTTGGACAGGAGCAGTCAGCAGTGCATGATGAAAACTGACAACTTGAACCACATGGCGGGCATCCTGGTTTGTAGAGAGATCCCATTCGACAGTAGTGTGATTAAACCTGGGACGGGTCAGTACCAGCACCACGGACCTCCAACTGGTCTTGGTGGGCCGGTAGGTGGCACGCTCCGATGACCTGGAAAGGGGACTGGGGACTCTGTGTTGCAGGTGAGATGATTAAAGCCATGACCCGACTACTTGGTGATTTTCGAAAGAGTAGGGCTGCTGCCCCGTTTTCCTGGAAACACCTGAGGTACAGGTCTGACCAGGCTTTAGGCTTCAGGTTCTGGTACTGCTCCAGCCACCAGAGCACTGCCTGTTCAGGCCTCTCACGCCGACTCAGTGGCTGGGAAATGCCGATTCTGAAACTGACCAGCTAGATCAGTACAGAAAACACTCACCTAAGATTAAGACTCCTCAAAATGAACTGCCCTTTTCAGACTTGGTAAGAAGCAACATTTTAGCTTTTGTCATGTATGTGTGAGCAGCTCTGTGATATTTAAAAATATTCACTCGGTATACAGTACCGCTCATTTCAATTAAGAAAACGAATATAAAACATTTAGGTTCCTTACAAAGAAACTAAACCTAGTATTAAGCAGGACATATGATGTGCATTTAAAAGGTGTTTTATCAATGCACAAGGGAATCAGAAATACTCCTTGTTCTTGCTTTGACCTTTGTGCAAAGGAAAGGCGAAGATAAAAAGCCTGTGGAATCTGTCCTGGATTCTAAAGTGGGTTGTATGTCACAATGGGGAGGCTGTTAATCCAAAGAAAGTCCAGAGGGCTGTACTGCAGTTCAAAATACATTCCTGCTGAAATCCAAATCATTATCCTGGATTTATGGCTTTTGTAGTACGTCGACAGTTTGATTTCTTACGAAAACAGATAACAGGATTTCATATATAAAACAATATTGTATTTTACACATGTATAGCATTATACATCACTAGGTCAACAGAAAAGGACTTCAAGCAACTAAAGAGATAATGTCTATTACAAACCAAAAATGAACATAAAGACACTTTCACAGAATATTTTCCTCTCTGTGTCTTAGTACTACAACAAGAAGCCAGATAAACAATAAATGTAAAACCATCGATATTTTATAAGTTGAATAACCTCAACCTCAATCAGCTGGTGTGATGGGAGTTCTATATTCATAATTCCTCAGCAGTGTAGTGAATGTGTCGTAGATTATTAACTACTGAGCTGTAAAGCCTAAATACTGCCACTGTGCATAATGTGTTACCTTCTCTTGTGCACATATAAACATTACACCTATAGTACACAGTTAAATATTTTACTTTTTTGACAAGAAGATTTAGATTTGTGGTAGAGTTTTCTAAAGAGCAATCGTCATTAAGGTAATGAAGATTAGCTAAATATTATTAATGTTGATGCAACTTATTCTGAAGCAACAGAGAGGCACTGTAGCTTTGGGCTGATTGGAAAAGGCACAAGAAAAGATTTAGTTACCACAAGGCAAAGAACTGACATGTTCTGAATAATAATGGTACAAAACCGATTTTCTCATTTGGAGCTCACAAAGCCTATGAATAATTTGAAAATGACCCAAGTGTTGGCCCACAAAAAAAGCTATTTGCTGAACCATATTATGCTTTTCATCATCCTGTCAAGTTTAAGAGCAACTCTGCAACAAGTTCATTGGAGCACCTCCATCTTTCATTGACAGGAAATGACGGCAGCGATACTGATATTCCAGACAAAGTGACAGATGTTAAATGTAAAAATTCCCTCTGAAAGATCAGCACAGTGACTGAACATTGATAAGTTTATAAATCTCATTTCTCAATTGTTTAAGAGATAACTAACAGCTAAGCTGCAAAGAAGGTAATGTTTCATGTGTGTTTTTGAACAATTACTTCCTGCAAATAAGCTCAATTCCCCACACTACCACACTCATACAGTATATTTTACAATATATACTGCATGTTTTTAATTAAAAATCTGTTCCTAAAAACCAGGCAAAGAAAACTAACATCCAGATTTAAATTTACGACATTAGAAAACTGGATTTCTAATAATGACAAAACATTACCTCAAGTAAAAATAATGCAGCAATACTTATATGGTGTAATTTGAATATTGCATATAATGCATCTCATCTTTGGGATATCATTTTAACAAGATTTTACAATAATGCAAAGTACGTACATTTTTCCAGGAAAATACGCAGGCTATAAATGGGACACAGTTCTCATTGTAGCCTGCGTATTTTCAAGATTGCTAGTTTCCTCTGTAGACAATTATTGTTGTGGACTCCTCAGCTTCTTTGATTGCTGTGCGTTTCTAAATTTTGATACAATTTATTGAACTGTATATAAAAAGAGTCCTTATTCTTTAAAAGTAAATAATCCATCTCTTTCATTCATGTTTCAATTCAATGAAACACACCACACTTTAGTGTCAGAATCCCTGCTCATGCACAGATCTCATTGAGATGTTCAGAAAAAAAAACCCAAACCGTTCAGTATATTGATCTCATAGGCTAACTCCGTTGGTTTTTTCTCCTTCTTGATAAAATCTGAAATTCTCCCACTTTGCTCATGAATGCAACAGAAGCTGCAATTGCTGCTTCACAGCACCCACTGGGATGGTTAGCAGCACTATCACCTAGACTGGCTGGGATGAGCCCGTCTTGTTCTCCCGAAAGGAAGTCACTAGATTTGTTACATGCGTTATTGTCTTCATATCTCAACCACAAATCGGATGTCCCGGAAATCAATTTCAGTGCACTTGGCATGAAGCACTCCCTCCCACCAAGTATTTTACAATAAATTCTCTGTCCACAATGTCATTACAGACTGGCAAGGCCTCAGGCACCCATGCACCTCCATGATAGGGAACTGCCAACACCATATTTTACAGCGGTAGGAGTATTACATAGCCGTCTTTGTACTGCTCTGCCACTTGACTTAAATCACCCCTGAAAACGGCTGTTTAAATTCCTCTGGACCAGTTTAACCATTTCAGCCAGTACTGAAAACCACCCAGTGATGTAATTTGCACAGCATCCAATCCGAAATGCAAACCAGCACATTACATATATAGTGCCATGCAAAAGAATGGTTTGCAAAATCATACATAAGAAATATTAATAGCTACTTCAAAGTGTTATGACTACCAACTTTACAATGACAAAATGTGAGAACTGTGCAAGGTTCGGAGTACTTTTGCAAGTGAGTGTATTCCATAATAGAGACTGTAGACAGCAATATAAAATAAGATATTGCATTAGCAGGTGACTTTCTCCATCACTTGATCTTTTCTAACTAATCTTTCATGTCCAAGGATGGCATCTGGCCAGCACTCCTCACACAGGATCTTCATCTGTAACACTGCAGTGGCAGTTTTGAAGAAGGTGATTAATGAGAAACTACAGGTAACTAAAAAAGGAACTGGGCTGATTTGCCCCTGTTCTTTGGTGCCACAGAAGATCAAGACCATTTCTGGGTTCGAAAGCATTTTCCATGTTAGCTTTTGAGAGTTTTCACAAAGAGCATTTGTGCATTTTATCAGCTCTTGACATTTGTAAAAAGACAGCCCTCGGTTTCTCTGACGTGATGAACTGTTCTGATAACCTGTCCTGCAAACATACCTTTATACCCACCTCCTTCTCTCCGCTGTCTCTGATGAAGACCTTCTCCAGCTCATGATTTATGCCCTCCATGCTGCTCGGGACCCTGGAAATGGCTGACTTTGGCACTGGAATGTTTGACAATGGCATCGGGACAGACCTGGGCACAGCTGCCTACAGAAGTATACATAATGCAGAGTATGGTTAAAATTTTCTCAAATTTACACTTTTAATTCTCAAACTATGCGTAAACATGTGAACATCTTGGCGATTGTCCTCTTTTGGAACTGCATGCAGGTCAGTATTAAAAAACAAACAAACATTTGACCATCTAGGTATTGATTCAATCAAACTGGACCCAACAAATCAAATACACTGTGCAAGGGTCACATTCAATGGGCTTGATCAACTGCAATTTTGAGTGTTACCTAGCTTCAAACACTAACTGCAAATGAAGACATTGTGTTCAGCCCCAAGGAGATCTTGAATACTTCTATTTTGTGTGCAAGGACACTGAACAGTTAGGGATCTACATGTCAGAGGCGGAGCTCAATTCCCACTCTCTGCGCCAGGTCTCACTGGCCATCTGGTCAATAGGGTTTGTTCCTCAACTGTTGGAACATAAGGGCCACTGCAGTGCTCATGCAGGTCCACAGCCAAGCTCAGCAAACACACAAGAATAAGACCTGGACCGACAGGCCTGAAACCACATGACTTTCTCCAAGCCTTGATGAAGCCAGAACAGTCCTTCACAACAGCTTTTACACTGAATGCAAGTTCTGCACTGCAGTGTGCTGCTCTATCCTGCTTGTTTACTTAAAACAGTGTAGATCTTGTATAAAAACTATAAAGCTGGATATGAGCTGGAGTTTAAATTTAAACATGAATATATAAATACCACTTTGTGATTAAAAGGCGTTGGAGCGTTTTATTAGACCGTTTTTCGTGCAGAGAAGCGCTTCCTAAAATGATTTTTTTTAACCCAGGACACATTTTACTTTAAGTGATTTATTGTACACTAGGATGATAAACGTCATCTAGCTCGTCCATTTACAATAGGTAAGGCACAGAATGTACAAAATGTTCCAGGGAACAGCCTGTATTCAGATTAGCAAAAGGCCTACAGTACGTCAACATGTATTAAGAAATGAAGTAACGGATTCATTCTGTCTAGATTCTCATTAATCAAATATTTAAGTGCACTGCATGATGTTTGCAATTAGAAAGCATAAGTGATGATGAATAGAAATAAGGTTTTAGAGATTATCCCACAGAACTGGGGAGCAAGTAAAGGACATTTTATCTTGTAATGAAAAAATGAAAACCTTTAATACGAATAATATTATAAACCATTTCAACATAATTATGTTAGAATAAAGCAGATAACGAGATGTTCCAAGCGGATTTTCAGAAAGCGCATATTAAAAGTCTCCCAGAATAAATAAACTGTCTTTTCAGAGGTGCTTAACATCAAGGACCATTGAAGAGATGAGCAGAAGCAACTCAGCTCTGTCCTTTTAAAGCAAATGTATACATGCACAAGCTATAATGATGTGAGTAAAATCAGTCTGTGCTGATAAATCATTTATTTAATGTTCCAGTAAATGTAGTGACCTATAGGAAATGCTAAGTGCTATATCAACAGAAACAATGCAGAAAAAGAAGATTTCTCTTCATATTTTCTAAAGAAGATTCACAGCTCACACACACGTAATAAGCATCCATAAGATACATTTTCTATAAGCTGCTGTATTTGTGGATACAGAAAATGTACAAGAAGTTTCACTTAATTACTTGTTGAGTGATTAATTTATTCAACCAGTAACTATGGACATTATTATTAATCTGAAGTACCTTAAAATAGAATTAGTCAGTGAAAAGTGCTGCTCTCAATTTTTCCCAGACGTTTCCTCTGTGTACTATTGACCTCTGACTCTTTTTAACAAAGTGTAAAAATTCAAATGAGATTTTGTTAAAAGACTCAGGGCATGTGCAGACATGCTTTTTTCCTCCCAGAAACCATCTTTTTGTGAAAGATGCTCAATATCACATGTGCAGTATACTGTACAGTAAATGACTAAAACAGTGATATTAGCTAAACAGAGGAAAGTAATGCATTAATAAAGGCATGTTTTTACTCAAAGGGATGTGGGGGTCTAGAACAAAGTACTCCAATACAGTACATCAGTCTGTCAAAAAAGCAGATTCCCCAAGTACCCCTAACAAGAAGCTGAAATACTCCAACCAATTAACAACTAGGAACCACATGTGCAAGATATGCCAAAAGGTCACCTCTCAATTGTAACCACTTATTTTCTCATGACACAAGACACAAGTTAACAGGCACATGAACAGCACCATCAAAACAATAAACTAGATAGCCAATAGACTAATGTATTAAAGTGTTTTTATCAAGGGTGTTTTTTTTTTCCTTTGCAAGCAAAAAATCTTTTTTTAGCTTTCAAAATAATCACATGGAATATACTGCTAGTAAGAGATATGCGACACAGTGCTCAGACACTCCTATACAAATAATAACCGACAAAGATACAATTAATTATTGCATTATGTTGAGGCTTTTGGCTTACTGCTGTGATACAATGGAAGGCAACATGTAATTAAAGTACAATGTCACCAATGTGAGAGTTACCTGCTAGAAATGGCCTTTAATTGGTTTACACTGTGTTTTCCAAAAGAGAAGTTCATTCAGAAAGCACACCAACAGGAGAATAACAAATAGCTTTCTGCATCTGAGTAACAGCGTAGGTGTTGTTCATAGCAGAGAGAGCAGCAGGTGCAATGAAATTTAAATGTTCAATAAAGCCCAGTGAGCTTAACATAAGATATATAACTAAATATATTTTCAAAAAAATATAAATATATTTTATTCAATATAAATACAAAGTCCACTCTAGCTCACTTTAACACAAACAAATGTGATAACTTTGTGCTCTTGGATCCCACAGTCACACCATGTACCTTTATGTGATGTACGATATATTTGCATTACTGTTAAAAAAGACGTCAACAAGACTAGAAAACGGTCTGAGGACCACAGTGACACTGAATCATGGGCCTGCAGGACAGACAAACACAAGGCTTGTTTTTGGGACGCTCTGCATAGGCCCCTTCCTGACCACCTGCTTTGCCAGACTCCAGTGAAATCTCTCGGCGTGGCTTAGCGTTCAGAAGCACACAGACCCGGCGCTGCCCTGTGGGCACTGCTCGCGTCCGAGCCGCTCCGGAGAAGGAGAGGAACGCTGGGGGTGAACCCCCTCTGTTCCTAGGTTGCCGGGGAGCGGGGACCCACCTGAGTCTGGCTGGCGGCCGCGTGGTTGCCGGGGAGCGGGGAGTGGCGGTCCTTCTCTTTGCCGTGACGCCCACTCTGCTTGCTGCGGTGCAGCTGGTGCCGCAGCTTCGCGATCTGCTGGAAAGAGAGGCAAAGGGGGCCGCTGAGCGAAACTCCGGACGACAGCCCGCAGCTCCGAGGGCTAGAAATGTCACTTTCCGCACAGCAGGGCTGTCCTGTCCTGTCCTGGTCCCAGAGAGCTGGTGTGTCTGTAGGTTTCCATGGTTTCTTTAAAGATGTTAATGGGGGGCGCAACTGGGGCAATAATGAGTTGAAGTCATTGAGAAATGACCTAGAGTGAAAGCTTGCAGACACACTGGCCCTCCAGGACTGTGGATCGCACAGTCTTGCCTTAGATGGTCACACAGGATCTTCCCTGTCTCACACAGGGATCACACACCCCTTTTTACAGTGCTGCTTTTCGCCACCAGGGGGTGCTATGATCTCTGCAAAGCATCTCTCTGAGTACAGACAGAACTTGTACTGCTACTACCCGCAAGGAAATAAGGTGTCATCTCGTCTACTAAACGGGGAATGGCAACCTTCTGACAAAGCGAGAGTAGGGGGTGAAAAAAAAAACATTTTAAAGAGAAAGCTCTAAAAATATTCTCGTACCAAATGCTTAATTTAAAATGCAGTGGGACAACAAGGTCACTTTTTTTATCTGAAAGGGCATCATGAATGTTGTATTCTAGAGCTCTATATTTTATAACATTGGGAGGTAGTGAATGCAGGTGAGAAAATATTTTCATGTGATAATATTTAGCTTCAGTACTGTATATCCCCAGAAACAAATAATACTGTGTTTTCCATGCATGTCCTTTTTTTTGCAGGTCTTAACTGAAACAATGCAGGACTATTATCAAAATCCCCAAGCAATGTTCTGAATCAGAGGGCTTTGAAGACCTATAAAGCATACAGGATACTAAAATGACCACAATAAAAGCCCCTATGGCCAGCACTTTTGTATCTCACATTAATCATGAAGTAAACAATGATACAACTTAGGTTACGTACAACAGATGGCAGCTATTTACTTCATTACAGTTCAACTTAGCTTTATTTTTTAAAAAGTCTCAATATTTTGTCCAGCCAAATCTTTTACATTATGCAACCAAATGATGCCTTTAAGATGTAATTAACATTTTACACAAGCACAACAGTTACAATAATGGCCCACTAACTAAAGAACAGTTCATCATTATGAGTCACCATCGGGAGCTGTAACAGAAATAAATGCTTGACATCGACAGAGATGAAACAAAAGGCGTGCTCTCAATGGTGAAAATAACTTTTCTGCCATGTCATTCACACCTTCTCCTCTCTGGATGAATGTCATCTTACTGCATTTTCTCGGTTTTCAAATATTTGATTTGATGAAGCCAAAGATCTTGAGGAGGAGAGGACTCACAATGTCTTTTATAATTTATTAATTATATTAAATTATTATTTTATAATTTAGCTAGAGTGCAAATGTTAATCTTAAACATCCCCTGAAGGACAAACTTAAAAAGCCATCACTCTTTCACAGGGTGTTTTTGCATAAAATCTATCGGGCTTAGTGGCCCAAAATAATTTGTGTCTTGACCAATTAGTTTGCTTTTCACACATGGAGTATGTAAATGCATATAAACTTATTTTTTTCCCTAGAAAAAAGCTCAATACATAAAAGTGATGCAAAAAGAGTCAAAGATGAAGCACACAACGCTATGAGTGATGAATTAACGATATAAACAGCAATTGAGTGAACGCAGATGCAGTAATTGAGATCTGTGAAGCATAACAAAAACACAGTTAAGATTAAATTCCGATTTTCTTGTAAAAGTGCACCAGAAGGTCATCTTGCTTCACAAGATCTTGTTTACGTCTTGCCTTAGTTGTCTAGGTTGCCATCATGATATGGGAGGTGACAAGATGAAGGAGTAAAGATTTGTTTCCTATTATCTGATGCATAAAGCTCCACTTTTATAAAGTTTGCTCATTTATAGGGGGGCACAGTGACCCCAGGCTTTAGGATTAGCTGTCATGGGTGCAACTCTGGGTCGGGGAATCTTCTGTGGAGAGTGTTCTGCCTGTGTTAATGCAGCAGGACTCTTGAGTCCACCCACAGTCACAAAAACATCCCAGCCAGGCTAAGTGGCTTCTCCACTTTGCAGCAGTGTGCAAGTGTCCGCAGCAGACAGGTGTCCCACCAGGGTGCAGTCTCTGCTCGCACCTTGTGCGTGTCGGGCTAGGCATCGCCTCTCACCCCACACCTCTTGGGACTAAGTGGTTACAGAAAACAGACAGATGGGTTTGCAGGGAAAACAACAAGCTTCTGAATCGGACCTTCCACGTGACGATCTTGGATAAACCTCTGAGATAACAAAAGCATAGACACTTTTATAATGTGCTTTTGGAATAATGGCAATTGAATAACATCTTTTATGTAGTTCAGTTAAAAAGCCCTCTAACCTGCAGATTTACATTCCAGTGTAACTCTGGCCTCCCGCAGGTAACACAGATGTAATTCTGCACATTCGAAACAAAGAGATATTGTTAAGGCAATGTCTTATCTGTCTTGCATTACTGCCACAAACAGTGGTATACTACAGTATGGTCTGCTCAGACTGTGCAGCAGGCTTTCGGTGCTTTTTCAGATCATTTAAAGCTTGCCTGGGCATGTCTTTGTTGGACATTCTGAGGAGCAAGAAGAAAAAGAATCAGTAATCAGCCTGACTCTTTGTACCATGGTAATGAATAATATGCCGAAAAATGCAAATAAAACATGCCTCTGAAAATCGGTTATTTTAAATAACGTTTTATAAAAATATGCCTGTAAGATTTAAAGTATTAATTACCTTGTGTAATTAATATTGTGGAATTACAAATTATGGTATGATTCAGCTGTACTAGATTCTGTTTAACAACAGGATATTCATGAAATTAAGAGCATAAGCCGTAAAAACCCCGATCCTAAGTGAATAATAAAGAATCAGCTGAAAACAAAGAGCACGCAGAGCTCCACAGCCATGTTCTTTAGGGTGGCATCCCTGTCTATGTATTTTGCTTTATTTATCCTTACAAATGCTAACACGAAAAAAAGAAAGGTAAAACAGGAGGGATTGCCATTTGGCCCATATGCTTGCTAAATCCTTGTAGTCTGCTGCGATTTTGTTACAAATTTTACAACTCCAGTAACAGACTGCAAACCTCACCTTGCCAGGCAAAGAAAAGCCTTTAGTGCAAATTCCTGATAAAAAGAAGACTCCGATACAAAAGATTTTAACACGAAGCATGTGCTTACTTAAAAAGTATGGGCTTGAGAGATGGCAGCACTTGAAGTGGAAACTTGCATAACCCTGTGATATACAAGACTTAAATAACAAACGGTACTACAGTGAGAAAAGGACGAACAGAGTAACTGCAAACAGGTACATTCAGAGGGCTCCAACATCTTTCGAGTCACAGAGGCAAGGGTACAGATGATGATTTGTTTTTAAAAAAGTCTTCTTCTGTGAAAATGTTTGCAATTTGAGGCTCATCATGATCTTAAACAACGTAATCAATTGAGATCAAAAGCAGAGATAAATGAAGCCTCTCTACTTTTATGCACATGTTTTTCCACTGAAAACGAATGAATACACACACCAGGTGCTGAACTGAAAATTAGCATATATTTAGAGGAAATTCATTAAAAGTTCAGACAATTTCATCTGTGACAAAAACGGTCATTAATGCTGTATGCCCAATTTTTAAAATGTTTAATAATTAATTAATAATTTTTAATGTTTAATTAATAATCTGATTTCCCATCTTAAGTATTGTAGATAAAAGAGATCTCTAAAGATACTGACAGTCCAAAAATAGAATACACAATAACAGCATTTTTACAATGCACAGAAGCTTAGGTTTCACAGAAATAATGACTCAATTTAGTGAAGAAGAGAGTGCTTATGTTTAGAAATACTCCATTTTGGGATTCTGCTTTGCCGAAAGTCCCAGATGGGAATCTTAGGACCATAATGGATAATCACGCACAAAAATTACCATCAACTCACAAGACCTTCTGGAGTAGTGATAGTATCCTCAATACTCACCCTCCCTAATTCAGATTGGCTGGTACTAACACTGATGACCAGAGTGTCCTCATCTAGATACACTGTGAACAACCTTTGAAATCCAAGTAATTAGTACACACCACCACAGAGCAATGCTCATTTTAGGCAACATTTTAAGGATTCCTGATGTATGTGCATATGTAAAGCGCTCTAATGCACAGCAATGAAACTACTGCTTTGTATATACTGTATGGACTTGTGCGCTACACACTGTATTTGTACGACATGTTCAAAGCACAATCAAAGCAATACCACTGTTATTACAGGGCCTTTAATTTCATAATATTTTTGTCTATTTAACATTATCTTTCTATAGCTGTACAATATGCACATTTTAAATGCTTTCTAAATGACTAAGTAATATAACACGAATCATGAGTCACTCTATGAGGGGATCAATTGAATTTTAACAGAAAAATGGCATCAACAGAAAATCATAAGCCTGGTTCTATACTGCTTTTCTATAATAATAAAACTTACATTTTGCACCATTTTCAATTCTGTTGGCCATAATTAGTGTTGAGCAGTTTGCAGTGAAGGTAGTAAAGAGAAACACGCTTTACTAAAGCTAAACAGCTCTGCTTTGTCTTTGAAATGTTATGAAAGTGCTTCTTTTTCAAGGCCTAGCACTCTGGCAGGTTTTTTTGGCATTTCTTTCAAGGACCATGAAAAGTGTCAACAGTAAAAAAATAATTTTACTAGTGTGACGTTTTAAGGATTGCCAGGTCACAACCAGACAGAAGCTTAACGCCACAGCCACAGTGTAAGGCCATCAAAAAAAAATTTAGGTTAACCAAAACAATATAAAACCTATCTCCTTAAACTATGTGTGCAAACCTTAAGAGCACTATAAATTCCTAGTACTACTATATGAACTCTTCCAAAAACCCAGGAAAAAAACAGAACAACAAAACTAACAGTCTTGCAGGTCTATCCAAACAAAAAGACTCCAGGTCCCAAGTAGACTTCCTCTATAACCCTGCCCTATATTCCCTCCCCGACCCTGAAGCTTCTGACTTCCATCCTTATAACTATAACTTGTATCTGAATTATAACTAATGTGTATCTTAAATTATCAGGTGATTTAGCTCCTTATTGTACAGCAAGATAAATATCCCAAACACTCCAACGGAAACAATTAAACCAGATGGCCCGCCCCTCAGATCCCAGACCCCAGTGACACTGATGCTGTACGAGACTATGTGGACATGGACAAGCAGAAAGAGTCCTAGAAACTCGGAAGGTCTTCAGAAGGTCTTCTAAGGAGTATGAAAAACAAGTCCTCCACAGTTAATAGAAAAAGTATATAACAGGATCCCTAGACAAATGTAACTGGTTTTGAAGAAAAAAGGGCCAAGGGACATTCACACAATTAGATTGCTGTATGGTGTACAAATACTACTTGTGGGATCTGCACTAAGGACAAAAATGTACTCTTCTCAATTATCAGATCAGAGTAATGCAAAATGTTAATGGTATCTGCATTACTGTGGACAAATACAGGAGTATCTGCACATCATACTCTTGATAGACTGCAACTGAAAACAGATTTAGAAAATGAAAGACAGGTACAAATCAAGATCCAAGACTGTGATGTCAAAAGAGAAAAAAACTAAGAAGTACTAAATATATCTTTATCTTATTTGTAAAACTAATTGCATGTTTTTCTAATGCATAATGTTCAGTTTTAATCATATTCACTACATATTTTAATTGAAGACACTGAAAATTTAATCCTCTAATGGTTGTGCACAACTTTATATTCTTAGCTGGATTACAAGGAGTGTTGCTGTGTCTTTTTCTATTTTTCAAATATACAGAAAGTTCAAGACAGTCCGCTGCGTTTCTCCCCCCATAAACAGCCAACGAACACCCCTCCCTGACTTAAAATAACAATAAACCTTTTACAATGAATTTTGTAATGTGTAGCTTTAGCTTAAATGTAACTTATTATTTCGAAAAAAAACAAGTGAATGTATTGCATTACCTTCTTATTTAATCCCTTTCAACAGCACATGTAATTTTGAAGCCTAGTACACATCTAACTCTTAAGAGGAGGAAACAATTCCCCAATACTAATAAAAGAATATACTATATATATAATGAGGTAATGGGGTGGAACTAACAATGAAAGTTCTGCTATAACACCTCACTTTTCATATCTACTTTCTAGCGCCTTTAAATGAAGAGCTGCAGTGTGACTGCAAAGTATCTGTGCTGAGGCCCCTTCCATACAGTACTGAGACATCTTTGCTGCATATGTTAACGAATATTCAACATAAAACAAGCCTGTCAGTTATACAAGCTGCTAAAAATACATTTGACTGAAAAACCCTTTCAGAACAGGAGAGGAATCTCACAGTTTCAGTGCTGTGAATACTGGGAAGATGTCAAAACACACCCAGTACAATTTATTTACTGAAAAGCTCATTTTCCCCATGAGAACTTCGGCAATGGACTTGACTGTATACCTCATCACACATATAACATAAGACAGAACACTTTGTGCATTAAATGTGCACCTATCTTTTTTTAAACTGAACTGAAAAGGGGGGATGATTGATCAGGTTTTTGATGTAAATCTAAGATGAAGTGCAGTGTCAAAGGAGATAATGTGGTATATTCAGTGTACCCTGTTGCTGCTGCTGCTACAGAACTGAAGAAAGCAGAAGCAGATAAGCAAACTTTTCACGGTGGGCATGTCCTGCTCTGCTGCCGATACAAAACACTGGCTCACAAAGAAATTCGAGGTCACACAGGAAGTCAAATATAGAAATTGTTTCAGGTACTTCAAAACTGCAAGTGCAATGTAGTCAAAAGCTGCCTGCACACAGTTTTTAACAACAGAAACTTCAGGCTTCAAAAGTCAGGATCTAAATTTAGCAATATGCTAAATTGATTGTGATACTATTCTTAGCCAATTTAAACTTCACCTCCAGAGATGGTGTCATTTCTGTAGCAAACACTGGGGGGTCTCATTTTAGGGTTTTTTACCTAAGTTTCCAGTTTGTCTATTGATAATTCATGTAACTGCCTGCGTGTTTTAAAAAAGCTGATCACAACTTTAAATTAGCTGTATTACAAGGAAGGTTGTTGTGTCTTTTTCAGCTTTTCAGAAATACAGAGCAATAGAGTTCAAATACAAATACAAGTTCAATACAGTCATCTGCATTTTTCTTCCCATGAATAGCCAAGGAACACCCCTCCCTGATTTAAAATAATAGTACACCTTGTATTTAAGCATTATAATTTGATAACTATCTAATAATAATAATTGCTTACACTTATATAGCGCTTTTCTGGACAGTCCACTCAAAGCGCTTTACAGGTAATGGGGACTCCCCTCCACCACTACCAATGTGCAGCATCCACCTGGATGATGCGACGGCAGCCATAGTGCGTCAGAACACTCCCCACACATCAGCTCTCAGTGGGGAGGAGAGCAGAGTAATGAAGCCAATTCATAGAGGGGGATTATTAGGAGGCCATGATTGGTAAGGGCCAGGGGGAAATTTGTCCACCCCTACTCTTTTTGAGAAACGCCCTAGGATTTTTAATGACCACAGAGAGTCAGGACCTCGGTTTTCCATCTCATCCGAAGGACGGCGCCTGTTTACAGTCTAGTGTCCCCGTCACTATACTGGGGCATTAGGACCCACATGGACCGCAGGGTGAGTGCCCCCTGCTGGCCCCACTAACACCTCTTCCAGCAGAGACCAAGGAGTTTTTCCCAGGAGTCTCCTATCCAGGTACTGACCAGGCACACACCTGTTTAGCTTCTGTGGGTTGCCAGTTGTGAGTTGCAGGGCGATATGGCTGCTGACATTGTTGCATTCAGCAAAAATAAAGACCCATTCAGATAATCTACTAGGACACAGTCAACACAGATCAAAGACAAAGCAGAGGTGAAGGCCTTCAGTATTATTTCAATGAGAGCACAAACCAAATATAAAATCTGCCCGTCCTGCATAATTTCTAGGGGTGTTTTCAGTCCTGTTAAAACAGCAGAAAACTATTTTCTGTGCTGGCAAAACCACTCCCCTCTTTTATTTTATCTTTCACATTTCCTGTATTGCCATAACAACTAGTGAGAAAAATGCCATAATTCTGAAAACACATGCATATCCTGTATCATACTGTACAATCTGCAGTTCGCAAGTTTTTGTCACATAGAGTAGAAGATAATCTTCTGCTCGGGATAAAATAAGCACCAAAACTCATACAGTTCGTCATGGACCACTCAACAGTCTTCTAAAGAACCGATTTTCTTTCTAATTTATTTACCTCTTTCAACTGGTCAGCACTTCCCCACGATGCTGACCGCTGATGTGTGCCCTTCTTTTCAGCTCCTTCTTCAGCCCAGCAACTGGGAGTCTAAAATAAGAAAACAAAACAGTTAAGGTGCCATTTTTCCCCTTACGTTGGTAGTCCTTGCCCATTCTAATCCAAATTAAAGGGTTATTAATATTCTGAAAAATATTTTTCTTAAAAAAAAGATGCATTCCATAATGTTTCACAACAGCATCCAGTGAGGGAACAGAGCCTTCATATAGTGTTTGCCTATTTCAAAAATTGTGCAGCTGACTCAAACAAACACAGGCGCAGATAGAGAAATATGAAATTATTTGATCAGGGGGTTACCTGACTGAGGAATGTTTATTGCTAAAGAGCAAACAATGTTATAGATGAAAGAAAAGGCAAGTCAAGCGCCATAAAAGATGCCCATGAACAGTGGCATTTAAGCAAGTTTTTATTTTGATTGCTTTACAAGAACTCCTCCACATTACGTCAAGCAAAAATAAATTTCGACCCCTACCCCCCACCTTCAACACGGCAGCATTTCAGTGTGCAATTAATATCTGAAAGGCTGAATAAGATTACATAACCCATCCCAACACTTCAAGTATGGCTTTAATAAGCCAGTGAATCCCTAGTGTCATGTGGTTCAATAGCTGCCTTCATCAGTAATGAACCAAGACTGCATTACCCATTTGTTCTTAACATTTTCGCACGGAGAACAAAACTAAAAAAAAAAACAAAGTAAGCGAACATTGGCGAACAACATGCGCAAACTTATACTAAATTGTTACAGCACAAAGGGAGAGGTCAGAACAGCTGAATGCCAGTAACCCAATCGGTGACCTACTGTACCATTCTGTGGCTTGAAAAAGCTCACCAAAAGCACACAGCACGGGGAAGAAAAGAGTATGTAGTGGTTAATGTAGGGGTCTCCATCCCTGGTCACAAAGGGCAGGGTTAATTAGGCAGATGACTGGTTAAATCGTGTAATTGACAGATTACAGTATTTGGAACACAAGTCTGAACTCTGCTCACAAGAACATTTTGTCCTAATTAAGTAAAACACTTGTGTAATGCAAGAATTTACTTAGAAGTATTCCCAATCTTAAGAAAGAGGTCATTTAAGTTAATTTAATAAACCTCTTTCATGCACTTGACTTTTCTAGCAATGTTAAAAGATTAAAAAAAACAATTTTTTGAACAAGTCTTAGTGGAATTTAAAATGGGGGAAACCAGGGGATTTTTCGAATAGAAGGATCCAGAATTCAGGACCAGGCCCTCAAGACCAATGTGAGTTGACAAACCCATCCTCTGACAGGCCGAACACATAGCACACAACGTGCTACTTTTCAACATTAACCCTGTGCTGAAAGGCAGCTTAAAAGACAAAAAATGTTGTTCCTTCAGCCCATTAAAAAGGCTGTAGGCACATGATACAAGAATCATGCCATCCACGGGGGGGAACATCTTTCTCAAGTGTTAATCACAATGCAGACGGCTAGGGAATCATCACCTGAAACCAGGCTTTTAGTATTTTTCTCTTTAATACGCATGGCAATAAAATAAAAACAGTGTACAATCAACATTAGGGGTGGAGGTGACAGCAAAAGGTGCACCAAGTTAAGACCTTAAGCCCTTCTCCAATTTCTTTAGAAGGGGCATTTCAGGTTACAAACACGTAACTGGCAAGAACCAAGCACACAAGGTAGAACCCTCATCCTCCTGCCTCTTTTATTGACAGTACGCCAAGTATCACCCAATGTGGAGCAGGTCAGATAGCCGCTAGTGAGATGTTCTTTTCTGTTTTCTAGAGGAAAAACCTGAAGTGAGCAAGGAGTGTTAACAGATATATGGAACGTGGGGCATAGGAAATAACCCAGATAGAAGCAAAATGATATAATGAAAAATAAAAAGGTCTGAAAAGGTGTGTGACCCTTCTTTTGTTCTATCTTCTTCTATGTTTTAATTCCATTTTTTCCCAATCTACTAGAACATGGCTAGGCCCAAAAACCATTGAAGCAAAAACAAGAGGATTAAGTGTCACTATGATAAAAAAATAAGCAAACAAATGTTTAAATCACAGAGATTTCAGTTCCCAATGAGAATGACTAAAGAATGAAAATACTTCAATAATACAACTCTGCATACCTACAAATCAGTTTTAGAGGGATGCAGTACACAAAAAGGGCAAGATGCTTACTTATTGAATGCACAGGCACAATAAATGAAATGTCACAATGAATATAAGCAAGTTTGAGCAAATGTATCACTCCATCCAATCCAATAAACCTTCAGATTTGAAAAACTCTTCTGAGCCAAAACAAACAGGCATGGACAGCAGGATACAGCAGGAAAGACTAGGTGTTCTTTGAAAAGGAAAGACTGACACTTGGGGCTTGTCGCAGCCACCAGAAGAGCGGTTTCTTCAAAAATTCCACATGCCCTCTCTCTGGACCCAGTCTGTGCCAATCAATTCTGGAAACTATACAGGGATTGCCTTCATTGGGAATCCAACTGGACCAATATGCTGATTTCCTTCTGAAAAACGCCCTCCAGCTCTACCACCTTGAGTTCCGGAGTCCTCAGGTTCTCTGCATAATCATCCAGCATTCCTATTGATTCCCTTTGTTCTTCCACTATCAAGTCCAGTTTTGAGATCATTTGCTGAGCAGCTACACGGACATCTGAGCATTTAAGTCTGAAGCCGATACAGCTGAAATGAGCTCAATGCCACCATTTCAGACATTACAAGCAGCTCCTGTAGATCCATTTTCTGTTCAAGCCGAGTGGGCCACCCTAGCCCCTTAAAGATCTTCACATTTTTTTAGCTTCATCTTAACTGGAGAAAGAACAGGCAGAGGATCAGCCTTTTTCTGCTTTCCAGCCATCTTATACGAACCACCCACACAGAAATAGACCAGAGGGGTAATGAAACCAAACAAAAAGCATGACAGGCAACAGAGGTTCTTGCACCCTTCTACCATCTGAGCACAACAGGAATATTATCTGCAAAAAAGTCTAGATCTTATTCTCACTTCACTCAGATTTCTTTCCCTTGGTTCGCTCTTTGACTCTATAGTCTACAGTCTGTGTTGGTGTGAAACCACTAGAGGCTCCTAGCATGAGGAGCTGTTATTCAACTTGCTCTTACATTCTGCTCTCTCTGTTAGTGGTTGCTGATGAAAAGAGGAAGCTAGATGCTTGTCATTGATTCTTTGAGGACAGTGTGAAGATCATATCTTAGTTTGTAATTGGAGTTAGTAACTGACTTCAGATTTTAAAAGACTACCTAAATTCCATTTGCCATTGTCTGTTTTGCAATGTCAATGATTACATTAAAGTAATATTCAATGCTGACTAAATATTAAAAAGTCAGCATTAAGTCCAATACAAATTACAGCTTATAATTATTCATTAGCTGAAAGACACAAAACTTGTATACACATGACTATCATGCAAATGGCACAAATTAGAAAAGGCATTGCTCAGTTTATGACTGAACTGCAATGTTAACAGGTGTTATGGTTGCGTGCTCACAATATACCAGTTATTCATTTCTAGAGGGGCCACAAACGAGACCAAGAGCAGTGTCTGCTTCATCTCTCAATTTCAATAACTACAGCACACCAAACCTCATATTGTCTTGTTAGTTCTCCTTCCGGATCTTTGATATGCAGTAGGCAAACTCGATTAAATCGAAGGAACCGCCATACTTACTACTACAGTACAGTACAATCGGCAGCAGAAGTCTTCAGCTTCTTAAGTCAGCAACAAACCGTCATCACACACAGTGAAGCCAATTTTGCCGAGTGGCAAAAAAACAAACAAAGACAGGGCATTTACTGTATGTACAGCCCTGCAGGAATTAAGACTGATTTTTTTTTATTTTTCTTAATCAGACTTTTTCTGTGAGAGGAGCAGTATTCTTTGGCTTGTAAAAGCAATAACTGTTTTATTTTCTCCTAGTACTATGGTACCAGGACAGTCCTAACAAAGCCACACTTCACCTCTCTCTCAGACTTTGCTACAGATTAAAACAAAAACTTACAGAAATCTCATATATGAATTATATTTAGGGTAGCATAATTCAAAATTAATATTGACGTGAAAATATACATCCAAGATATAGTACATGCAAAAAGGTCTGTTGAATCGCTCGGATGTCAAAACAGATTTTGTACAAAATTGTTTCTATAGAAACAAAAATATACCAGTTGTGGATTTAATTAGGCACAAAACGACTTATTACAGGAATAATTTTTACGACCAAGTTCTTATTGTGCCCTAGCATGACGACTGATGTTTATGGTTAAAACCTTAAAACATGTCTCCACGTTTATTCTGCTTAAAGGTGAATGCAAACCGTATCACAGCAAACAGGTTGCAACACGATAAGGCCTTAAAAAATGCAGGCCATATGTGCTAAGCAGTTGGAAGGCCTTTAGTATAAAAAAGGGTCTAAAAATGTAAGCCTTTCTTATGCTAAATGCATGGGGAAAACAAGAATTCTAAAAAGCAAACATAAGCATAACCTTTGGTGTAGAAGCATTGTATTATTGTGCTAGAAAGATCATGCAAAATGCAATATATTAAATTGCTTTTCTTCTCAAAGGACGTCAGTAACTGAATGTATAAACATTTAAGAAAAAAATAAATTTGTTAAAGAAAATTGTCAAATTTCATCCATTCAAATAGATGCTCAGAATGGGGTGATCTAATTAGTGGGAGAACCACAAGGATGTGTTCCCGAATAAATTCTCTTCCTACCTTATATTAATGATCTGGATTTTCGTTTAGTTAAGTAAACTAGGCAGGTTTGCAGTAAATATCAAAATAGGAGGACTAGCAAACATTGCAGAAGCACCCAATAAATTCCAATTAAGTTATTAAATTTAAAATGAAATAGTGAAAAGAGTTTTGCATACAGGTAGTAAAACAAAATACATAAAAAAATATGAACACAGAGCTTGATGAAGCTACATCTGAAAAAGGCTAAGCTTTTTATGTTAACACATCATTTACTGTATATCTTATAGGCAACGTGGGAAAAGCAGTAAAATAAAATGTCAAGATAA